ACAATGCAGAGAATACACAAAATTATTGTAAAAATTGTGGTTTGATTCATTTATGAGACTTATTGCTTAGCATTTTGAAACTCAACTATATATGCATCTTTTCAATTTTAAACACTTTAGGAAACGTTTTCAAACATTTTATTTATAGGAATGGAACCTTTTGTTTTTGTGATGTAGAATCCGCCATTAAGATTTAACCAAACATTTTAGGTACCTTGTATCTGCGAAAAACTCGACATATGTTAATAATTTACCACGATAGGTATGTCGTTGTTTGTCAGCGCCGCCTTTGTTTCTGTTTTGTTTTTAAATCAAAACAAAGAAAAAAACCATTTGCTCGTTGTTTTACCAATTCAAACCTTTTGATTATAACAGACCGTAACTGGAGAATGGCATTTCCGGAATAGCGAGTATATCTATAGCTAATGCATTAATTATACACTGACTCATGGTGCCATCACGTCCCAGAATTGTGTTATGTAACCCCACCTGGTTTGACCTTATACAAAAACCTGGTACAAAATACAGCTTGTAGGTTTGATGTAAAAATACTCAAGTTGGTCGCTGCCTACAAACCGCATCGAAATTCCTGAGATTTTATACAATTATGTAATAAATTCAATGAAAACGTTTCATTTTCGAAATACAAGGTATTTTTAAAATTAATGAAAAAATATACAAATGCCAGAGTTCCAATATAGTAGGCAGTAAGTGTCACAAATCACAACGTTTACAAGTTCTTAATCTGACAAAATAGTTTTGTATATCCTCTGCAAGGAAATTGTAAAGTGCCGTTCATTTCGCAAAGTGCTCAGACTCATTTTTCCACTCAGGTGTTTTCCTTCGTGCCACATGCGTGCAAGTGTTATAATTTTCACATTTTAGTTATTCCAATATGTTTAAAAAAAAAGTCTAATAAAAAATGTTTATTAGGGAACTGAAGCGCCAAATACTATGTTGGCGAGTGATGCTGTAGAAATGTGCGTTATTTAACAAAGGTGTACTGTTTTAAAGTGGTAAAAGTGAAAATAAGCAAAAAAAAGCGAGATAGGAAAGAAATTGACTGCAATCGCAGAGAACAAATAGAAAAATTGTCAACATATGCATGGAAAAAAGCAGAAAACATAGAATGGTTGAACGGAAAACGTCGGTGGTGCATCTCATTTTCTCTTAATTTTAGTAGTTTTAGTGATTTTCTCAAAAACGGTACAAGATATCGACTGATATACGGTATACCTTTTTTTTAGCAAAGTGGCAGAGGAATCGAACTATGAAAGAAAAATGTCAAATTTGGCAACGCTGTCAAAGACGTATAAATTTAAATGGATAATTTCGTCTAGTCCTGTATAATCCAGGCATACTGAATGTCAGTTTAAACTTGTAAATGAACATTACCATGAGTTACTTTAATTGCCTAAATTCCGTTGTTGTCATGGTAACGACTTAGAAGATATAATTGGAATTTGGTTTTCAAACTTCTTTCTTTGAAGGCAATTAACTCCATAACGAAGTATTACAACTATTTTGACCTCCCCTGTATACTCCTTCATTTTTTACATGACTTTTCTGGAGACCGTGTATACCAAGGAGTGTAGATTTGTTAGGATAATCTAGTTTTAATCAAAATCGCCATCCCTATTTATCGTTCTATATTTAGTAATTTTTCTAAAATGATACGCCACTGGAATCGCATACCCTACACGCCTTACTCGTCGCACGGATCTACATGTTATAAATGTGTTATTGCGTACAATTTCGGGATTCTGCTCTAGTAAAGCCTGTGTCCGTCACTATAATATAATCAAAATTGAACTGAATAACTACTCAGACAAGTAATGATGATAAATTGCATCAAATCATTACGAATTCAATCGAATATAACTGATGATCATGCCTGAAACATTTCTATGCCGGTATTTTGTTCCGCTAAATAAAAAAAGTCGACGAGCCTCTTTTGAGAAGCCTATTTTCACGTGGGGTCCTCCTGCCACTGGTTAAGGCTTATTAATTTCATTGCGGTTTTAATTTAAGACACCAGGAGACGACAATAAGCCGACCGATGAATTCGATACGTTCGGTTCGTATAAACAATAACAGGAAACAGACACACCTTTTAAAGCCTCAAATGCGATGTTGACGTCCTTAAGACTTCTTACAAAGCGAATGTAAGGTTAAAAAAATGTCTGTTACGCACAGACAGATTTGGACATAAGATTTCATCCAGTGAAAATTATAAAGAAACGATATTATATTCATGTATACATATTTTTTCCGCCTGAAAGCCTAACGTTCTTTGCCTGGAATATATGAAATATTTTTTCCTAAAATTAAACGTACGATACAGGCAAGAATAAAATTGACCTTTTTCTTAAATGTAGTAGTTTCTCCCCGTTTGAAGGTCACACATTTTTTAATGTTACTTTTAATTTTAGCAGTTATTTATTTACTGTATTTCACTATTATAATGTTTATGCTTGTTAGACTAATTATATTTTTTGAAAGCATATTTTGCTTTTCGCGTTAACAAGTCCCACCCTTGATGAAAATATAGGGGTTATTTATTCCTTCCCTTCTATTTATATATTGGCTGCATGCGCGTCGTCTGCAATGTTGGGAAAGACAAACACTCAAATATATTTCCGACAAGTTTATTTAAAGACTGGGTGCATATTACTCAGTAAAAACCACGGGCGGGGTAGTAATTTTTCATTAAACATGATTGTGTTCATAAACAAATAAAATTTTCCGAAATTCTGGAATTTAAGGACAATGTTTGTTTTTTTTATATTATGGATTATAATTTTAAATGGCCTTGAATATCACATAGTCTGTTTGGAAATGAAAGAGAGTAATAAAACCCCGAGATAAGAACCGGTCATGGGCGTGGTAATATTTCGTTGCAGGTAATTATCCGGTAACACTAATGCTAACAGGTAATGGGTGTACATTAGTATATTTTACTGGATACATCATAGCGCAGGAGCCAGTGTATTGTGACAGATCAATCCAGTCTTAGAGCTGAATATACGAAGACGTGCTAGTGCAGTAGAGTAAAATTCGACTTGTGTTTAGTGACTATTGTGCCAGTGGATATAATATTGTTTGGGTAAAATGTCGAGCTTATCAGATTACGTACCTGCTAAACGCGTGAAAAGATGTGCGCTGTCTCAGAATGAGAAGATTATTATATTAAATGTATTTAATGCATTGAAACACCAAAATCCTACCAACAGTGTTGACGACATCGTGGAAAAGTGTTCCAAAATGACAGGGATTGGAAAATCGACTATCTACAGACTTTTAAAGGAAACAAAAAATGAACAAGATACTGTAAATCCCCCAAAATCATCTACAGGGAGGTCAAAAGTCGTTATAGATGATTTCTTCAAAAATGTCATTCGCAGAAAAGTACACTCATTTTATTTTAAAAAAGAAATACCAACGCTAAACAAAATTTTAAGTGAACTTTCAGAGGACAACGATTTGCCAAAAATCAGTAGAAGCAAATTATGGGCCGTCTTACGAGAGTTGAATTTTTGCTGGGAAAAGCAGAACAGGAAGTCAGTTCTTATCGATAAAGATGAAATTATTTGTTGGCGAAGATCCTACTTAAGATCAATTAGAAAATTCCGTGACGAAGGGAGGAATATTTATTATCTAGACGAAACTTGGGTCAACGAGGGATATACTGTAACAAAAGTATGGCAAGATAAAAATGTAAAAAGTTTTCGACAAGCATTTTTGGATGGACTTTCAACAGGGTTCAAGGCACCTTCAGGTAAAGGGCGAAGATTAATAGTGACACATATAGGTAGTGCCAGTGGTTTTGTAGATGGCGGTTTACTTTTATTTGAATCTAAAAATACAGGTGACTATCACGAAGACATGAACGCAGATGTTTTCGAAGAGTATTTTACACAGATGTTGGATCTTATTCCTCCGGGGTCTGTAATTGTCATGGATAATGCCAGTTACCATTCACGGCAGACCGAGCGGACGCCTACGACTGCTTGGAGGAAAGCCGATATAATTCAATGGTTATCCGGAAAAAACATTTCTTTTGAAACAAATATGGTGAAAAAGGAACTTTTGACACTTGTCAATCTTAATAAAGATCAGAAAAAATATGTTATCGATGAAATGGCAACAAATCGCCAAATAACGGTACTACGGTTACCACCTTATCACTGTGAACTTAACCCAATCGAATTAGTCTGGGCGCAGGTAAAAGGAGATGTAGCGCGAAATAATACGACGTTTAAATTAAGTGACGTGAAAATTTTGTTAAAAAATTCCTTGGAACGAGTAACTGCAGATAACTGGCAAAGATGTATACATCATGTACAAAAAGAAGAGGAGAAAATGTGGGAACTCGATAATTTAATTGACGTTACTGTGGAACCTATCGTTATCAATCTAGGAGACGAAGATAATTCATCAGAATATTCAGAGGATGAATTTTAATATACCTACTTTTTTATTTTCTTTATTGTACATTTATACAACACTACATTTACTCACCATAATTTGAATTTTCAAAATACATATATTTTTGTGTGGAATAAAAGTCTATTCATTAAATTTAAATAAATATTTTGATAATAATATTGAATAATTTTATTTGAATTACTAAAAACCCTCTTAACCCGGTTATGATGCTTAAAGTAGCCTCATGTTTTGAAATGCTGTTTTTATATTGTTTACTTATAAGAGAAATGGACCGAGAAATTGAAGCGGCATAGACAAAGACGGATTGTCGGGGATTAAATTTTAGCTACCTGCTACAATTTAGTACAACCCGGTCACACAAAGTTTTTTTAAAAGTAGACCTCATCTATACCGATAATACATAATATAAAAATATTGAATATAAGCACCAGTACTACATTTATTTACGATTTGCATACATAATAAGCTTTTATTACTCTCTTTCATTTCTAAACAGACTATAGTGGATTTGATAATACCAAATAAAAAGTAGTAACAGAAATGGGACTCACCTTTAGTTCTTATAAACTTATGGACGGATAAGTTTTAAGAAGAGTTAACTTCTTGAGTTCAATGTACTCCTTTATCTGTAAAAAAAATAAAATTATCAGTTAATCTGACGCTTTGATAAGATAAACTCGGATATCCGGAAACTATAAGCAAAAAGCGATTCTACTCACTAAAGTAATGGTGTAAGTCCCTACCCCAAAAAATCAATAATAACAGAGTTAGGCACATAATCTAAAATTATTTTTTTAATCAATTTTCTCTTATAACTTTTTATTGGTACTGATTTATTATTAAAATACTCCACAAAATATAAATTCCAATTACGAAATAAGAATACAACCAAAAAGTACTACTAACCTAACAGAAAGAAACACAAAATATAAAAATAAAATAGTAATAGTAAATAAAAATTGATACAATAAATATGCAAACAAATAGAGATACGCAGTACAAAAAAATAAATAAATATCAGCAGTAATATCCAAATTTGCTGAAACCCTAAAGAAATAAAATGAAATGGCCCTTACTGGCAAAACAATTGATCATAACTATTACGATGGCCCAAAAAAAAACGATTTTTTTTTTCGTGTATTTTGTGAAAATATGTTAGTTTATCATATTTTAAGAGCCCCCTCAAAAAATCAGCGCAAAAAAAATTTTTTGGAGGTCGCTCAAGATTTTTAAAAATTTCCAAAATCGTAAAAAATTGAATTTTTTTTAAATTTTTTTTCTCGTTATTTTATCATTTTCTAGGTTGAAAAAAATCTTGATTCTCAAAATTTCAAATCGATATTTTAATTTCTAAAGGTCTAAAAATAAATATCAACGAACTAATATTTTTTTTTATTGAATTTGATGAACAAAAGAATAGAAATAAATCACGAGACACTTAAAAAATTTCTCGAGGCAAAATTTACTACCGCACTGTATCAAATATTTATAATTTTTTAAAATTTAAGTGTCTCGTGATTTACATATTTCTATTCTTTTGTTCATCAAATTCAAAAAAGAAAAATTATTAGTTCGTTGATATTTATTTTTTAGCCGTCGCTCGAAAACATAGGTAGGTACACTACTTTTAAAGTTAAAATAATTAGAAATTAAAATATCGATTTGAAACTTTCAGAATCGAGATTTTTTTCAACCTAGAAAATGATAAAATAACGAGAATAATTTTTTTAAAAAAAAATCAACTTGATTTTGGAAATTTTTAAAAATCTTGAGCGACCTCTAAAAAATTTGTTTTTGAGCTGATTTTTTGAGGGGGCTCTTAAAACATGATAGACTATAGAAAATATGTATTTTCTCAAGAGACACGAAAAAAAAAATGTTTTTTTTGGGCCACCCTAATATCTAACTATTTTTCAAAAAATTAAACAGTTTCAGCTTAAAGAGCATTTTTACAATCCTTTATTTTTCCAAATCTAAAAAATTAACCGTTTTGGAATTTGCTAACACATTTTTCGTTAAAATTCCGGTGAATTATTATTTTTAGATTTCAAAATAAATTTAGGAAAATTTGCCTACAATCGTATAAAACATGTTTTTTTATGTTCAAATCTTCTCAAACTTGTACTGCAAAATTTGGAAATTTTTTAGTAAAACACTTGAAACATCGGTCCGAAACTGTTTTGCGCGCCGTCACTGCCGCAGTAACAGTTGAAACTCCTTTTCGAATAACTCGGGTCTATTTTGAATCACAGTTCTATCTTTAGAAACGTTCATTCACCTAAACTAAGTCAAGAGTCAGAAAAATCAATACAGTAATCTAAGGAATGCACATATTGCAACTATTAAATACATGCACTATTCACGTTGAGACGTAAAAATCTCGTGTCTGGATGTCGGAAAGGATTGTTATCATTACCATGATGGATACGTTTACGTAGGTTTAAAGTTCAGTAAAATAGTATATTGTGAAGATACCTTAAGCGCCATGCATCGAATATTCATTGTGAATTAAGTAAAATAAAGGAAAAAAGTAGCGTGCAATTGTGCCAAGTTAATTTGCTATTACATATTTAAATTAATTTTCTTCTTAGTCGATGATCTCTGAAGAATCTATAGTTCAGTCATCCAAGGTACAGAAACGGCGTTTCCAGGAAAAAAATGTAGAAGTTTTTTTCTCACCGGTTCTATATGTTTTTTGGGGTGCTGAATCCATATCTGAGGTTTGCCACCTCGTCAGGCGTTGGCTTCACAAGGAAAATTGCAAAAAACCTCAAATTTTCGGCACCTTTTTCAGTTTTTTAACTATAACTCGAAAACTAAGCGTTTTTTGATTATAACTATGATATACCAAATTAAAGTGGACAAAATTTCTTATAAATACATATAATTACTCTAAAGCCTGGACAATTCATAACGTCGTTAGATCGTGTTGAAAAAAATGGCCGTTCTTGACTTTCCGCTAAAAAAGTTAAAAACATTCTACCTGCGCGCTGGTGCCCTACTATCAACTTCATGCATCTCTAAAATCAATTCTTTTATTATTACCTGGTATGTCCAGGTTACATTTAAGGAATTGTCAAACGTGAATGAGGTCCATATATGATCAACGGGCCCTTTAGTTCAAACGAAATCGTACTACTCTTAATTCAAGGGGAAGATAGGTTTTGAAAAAAAAAGAAACATATTTGGAACACATTTGTATTTACGCGAAAAAAAAAGCAAAAAACGCCATTATTCACAGATCAAAATGTCATAATAATATTTTTTCCAGTGGAGAGACCAGCACCCATGGCTTCAAGAGTTCGAGCAGTCCACTGCCCGGACAGGTCTAAAAAGAAAACATTACATCGCTCCGTCCATCTAATCTTGAGCCTTATGCAGGTATTATCTTCTTCATCTTATTTTCAGTTTTCTCTTTTTTAAAAATAATATTAAGCTCTATTGTGCAAAGACAAAATAAACTTTGTCCATAATGAACATAAACGACATGGATTCTGTTATAGTTATCTAAAGTCTCCATTCTCGTTGTTTCAGGTGATAATTCTGCAGATAAGGACGACGAATGAATATGAAAATTATCAAATAATGGTATTTTTGCTTTTTTCGTGTACGTAAATACAAATTTGTTCCAAATATGTTTCCTTTATCAAAACCTTCTATCTTCCCTTTGAATTAAGAGTAGTACGGTTTCGTTTGAACTAGGAGGTCCGTTGACGTTATATGGACCTCACTCACGTTTGACAATACCTTAAATGTAACCTGGACATACCAGGTAATCATAAAATAATTGATTTTAGGGTACCAGCCCGCAGTTACAATGTTTTTAATTTTTTTAGCGGAGTCAGAAAAAAAAATTTCAACACGATCTAACGACGTTATGGATTGTCCAGACTTTAGAGTTATTACAGGTATTTGTAGGAAATTTTGTCTACTTTAATTTGGTATATCATAGTTATAATCAAAAAACGCTTAGTTTTCCAGTTATAGGTAAAAAACTGAAAAAAGTGCCGAAAATTTGAGGTGTTTTGCAATTTTCCTTGTGAAGCCGACGCCTGGCAAGGTGGCAAACCTCAGATTTGGATTCAGCACACCAAAAAACACATGAAACCGGTGAGAAAAAGCTTCTACATTTTTTTCCTGGAAAAAACTTTTGCTTACTGCATTACTATTTATAAGCTGACAAATGACTTGTATATGGATGGGGCATTCCACGCCAAATCGGACGGTTCGAAAAATTTAAATTTTCGATTTCCTTAATTTTTTTATATTTTTTTAGTACCCCTCAAAAAATCCTTTCTGGTAAATTGTAAGATTTTTTTGATTACTTGTTCAAAAGTTATAAAATTTTCAAAAAAACGCTCTTTTTTGGTTTTTTGATCATAACTTTCTTAATAATGGTCCAAATTAAAGCTTTTTTTATAAAAATCTTTGTTTTTAGACGGCCTTTACAGATAAAAATACAAAAAAAATATTCAAAGGTTTTTTATTAAGATTTTTGAGTTTGAAATTTTAAATCGTATTTTTGAAAGTGAGTGTATCTTTCGATTTTTGTGAAAATATTTTATTTCAAACTACTATTCCTTTAACAACTTTTAGGACCGGTCCAGTCGCGGGCCCTCCATAATTACTATTTTTTTTTTGATTTTTGAAAATAAAAAAAAATATTCTGTATAAATCATTATATGTACTGATTGTTGTCACTTTCTACTCTCTTTTTACTTATTTTAAATTAATTTGTATACTTTTTAATTATTAATAGGTGTTTAAAATCAATAATTAAAGGTTGTCTATTTATTAACAATGATAACAAACGTTTCTATTTATTTTTGTGTTCTTTTAAAAATTATTTTATAAATGCTATTTTTTGTTGTAAAGTATTTTATTTATTTAAATAATAGTATCTTTATGAATTTCTATCCAATTTAAAAAGAGTCGCACATCTTATGAATATTGCTGTCAAATTTTCAGCTGAGAAACACTAATTAGATGCAAAAAATATTATATAAGCGTTACAATACAGCCAAACCCAAACAAACCCAAAATTTCATTCAATCATTCCAAGGAACAAAATATTATTTTGTAAACTAGAATAATCCTTAGCTAATATATTTCCATTAGTGATGGGAGATTTCGAGTGGTACTCGATTATTGAGATCACTCGAGATATCTCGAGATGTTTACTCCCACTACTCGAGTGATTATTACCCTACGGTTGCACCCCAAAATGTTAGTGCATACTGCAAATAGTCACTGATTGCGTAACCTTTTTTTTTAGAATAAAACGAAAAAGTGGTTAGGTTTTGAAGTGCGTGAGCTTTTTTTTTTAGCTACGCTTATAAGTAATATATGACTAATACAAACATATTTGTGCGCCGCTGGGATGAAAACGACCAATATCACGTATCTCGAGTGATCACTCAATTATTAGAAGTACTCGATTACCGATAACTCGATTATCAAAATTGGTGCCCATCACTAATTTCCATTGCTCTTTTGGGTCCCAATGATTGACTTAGCTATATTGTATCGCAAATTTAATTTTTCTTTTGCATCTAAATAGTGTTTCTCAGGTGAAAATTTGACATCCAATAATAATCATAAGATTTGCGACTCTTTTTAAATTGAATAGAAATTCATAAAGATACTATTATTTAAATAAAAAAAATACTTTGCAACAAAAAATAGCATTGATAAAACAATTTTGAAACAATTTTTAAAAGAACACGAAAATAAATAAAAACGTTTGTTATCATTGTTTATAAATAGACAACGTTTACTTATTGATTTTAAACACAATAAATAAATAAATAATAAACAATAATTAAACAATAAAATAAAAAATAAAATAAACAAAAACAATAAAATAATAAACAATAATTAAAAAGTAGTAATATTAATTTAAAATAAGTAAAAAAGAGTATACAAAAATCGGTATTTTTTTTAAATTTCAAAAATCAAAAAAAAAAATAGTATTTATGGAGGGCCCACGACCGGACCGGTCCTAAAAGTTGTTAAAAGAATAGTAATTTGAAATAAAAATTTTTCATAAAAATCGAAAGATACTCACTTTCAAAAACACGATTTAAAATTTCAAACTTAAAAATCTTAATCAAAAACACTGAATATTTTTTTTGTATTTTTATCTGTAAAGGCCATCTAAAAACAAATATTTTTATAAAAAAAAGCTTTAATTTGGACCATTATTAAGAAAGTTATGATCAAAAAAACAAAAAAAAGAGCGTTTTTTTGAAAATTTTATATCTTTTGAACAAGTAATTAAAAAAATCTGAAAATTTACCAGAAAGGCTTTTTTGAGGGGTACTAAAAAATATAAAAAAATTAAGGAAATCGAAAATTAAAATTTTTCGAACCGTCCGATTTGGCGTGGAACGCCCCATATGTATGTTTTTTCTTTAAAACACTACACTGAAGTATAACGTATAATGTAAGAGCATAACTCACTTTCAAACTAGTCCTGGTTGTGAATAATTGTTTTATTTTAATATTTTATTTTTATTTTTTCCATTGTTTTTGTAACTTTAATCAATGTAATTTTTGTTTAATTTTCAATACTAATGTGTTTCAACAACAGATTTCATTAGTATGTAACACATCTATCTGTATCCTTTAGCAAAATACAAAGTGAATATACACTAAGAAAATTATTATCTAATATCAAACTACCTAACTATAAGTAGTTAAATTAAATAAACGAAATCTAAATCTTACATATTTCAAGACTTTAATATTAACATCACCCTTAATTCATGGTAAATATTAAATAAACTGGTACAAATTAAATAAATAAGATCATGTTTATTTTAATATTAATATGCCTTAATCAGTTACCAGCAAACTTATTACTCTAGTTAAAATGAAACGAATCTATATAACTTAATACCTAGTTATTTTGATTTGAACGAGACTTTTTTCATGCGCAAAGACTAAAATACAGTTTGCGACTGAGAGCGCCAGATCCAGTACCCACAAACTACTGAAGGAAGCTCATACCAGCTTGTCCATATTATGAAATGTAACTAAACGAACAGCAATTAAAGTTATATAGTTATTATATCGTGTGGAATGAAATTTGTCTGTATTGCTTCTATTCCTATTATCTACATTATAATAAATAGATATGAAAAAAATATTAAAAATTTACACAAAAATAGTACTTGTAAATGTAAATTTTTTATATTTCTTCCGTGTGCAGTTGCTTTAAATTTAAAACACGTTTTCGATGGTCTTATTTTTGTCAAAGGCCTCTATTTAAATTAATTAATTTGTTTTTCATCTATTTTTTCTTAAAAATTCCGAGATCTAAATCTCATTAACAACGGATTAGATATTGCTGAAATCATTTTTTTTAAGATATCAGAGGAATTTCTTACATAACTTCAAAGCTACTTAAAAACACACACTGATGTAGATTGCGTCTAAAAACCGGTACCTTTAGCTTTATTTGACTTGAATAGTTGTTGTACCAGCCTATATCTATACGTATTTTATTTATATCTAAAACGGTATCATAACAGTAAAGCATGGTCCGAAAAGAACAGTGAAAAAAATAATTAGATACATCATTATTTTCACTGTAACCTCTAACGGATGTTACTTTCAGCAAAAACTGTATTACCAGACAAGACTAAAGATATATGCTACAATCCCATTTGACAAGCTAACATACAAAAAGTAATTAAATTCCTAAAAATTTTGCGCTGCGAATAACAATTTTCTCTTATCGCAGATATCGATTTAGAAAGAGCAGGAAGGATATTTACCGTATACTCAACGATCTAATATTGGACTTTCCAAGAATAAATGGTGAAAAGTGCTCAGTAATAATCTATAATTAGCTAGTTATAATTATAGTTATTAATACTTCAAAAATAAAGGAACGCTAGCTATTAGTACTCTTCCTCGTGTGAGAACGGATAAAAATCGTTTTAAGGATCTATTCATCGTCAAGCTTGTTACATTAATTTTACAGCTATTACGAGGCACAAGCATATAATGCCAAGAAAGCAGTTGCAAATTGGCAAATCAGTAAAGGATCACACAGGGTGTCTGTTAAAGAATGGACTAAATACATATGATAATTTGTCGATATAAGGTGTTGACATTAAAAAAAATAAACTTAAAAATCAACTGCGTTTACAGAATCGAATTTCGGCAAGAGTACAGTCTTTGAGTAGAATTAAAAAGTAAGAGTAGTAAATTCACACTAAGAGCACAAAATTTCAACCTTAAAAAAGTTAATATTCCTGGTGTAACGCAAATATAGTGTTTGGGCCAATTCCTAAATTAATTATTTTTATTTGCAAAATATAAAAATATACAAAAAAAATTGAGAACAGATCCGTCATGAAAAATAATCAATATCGTAAAAAAAAATTGTAAAATCTTTATAGTTTCCGAGAAAAAAGGCGATTCTGAATAGTGAAATCCGGTTTTAGTGTTTTGCGATAGTGTTTACATTAGTAGTAGTTTTTCAAGTGTCAAAAATAGCTTACAGCAACTAGAGTTGATGGATATCGTATTAATTTATGATGAAGCAAGACAGCATTTGTGTTATGGTGAAGCAAGACAACATTTGTGTTAGTAGTAACTGGG